ATCAAAAAAAAGGAATTATAATCAATATAAAATGAAGTCAGAGAAGATAAATAAAAGTGTAAATTATAAGAAGATTTAGATGTTATTCTTTTTTTGAAAAATCAAATGCAATTTTAATAAATGAAATTTAACGGAAAAATCTATTAAAACTGATGGTGGAACGAAATGAAAAACATTTAAGAATACTAGAGAAAAAAATAAACAATAAAAAAAAAATATTCAACGTGTAATTTTTTTATAACAAATTTAGTCCTATGAAAAAAATTAAAATTCAAACGCTCAAAAAAAAAAAATTTTCCATTTTTTTTGATTACATTTTTATCCCCATTTTTTTAACTTGATATAAAAAAAATAAATTTCTTTATCTCATATATAAAAATATATTAAAAAAATTAAAAGATAAATAAATTTTTCATATATTTTTGGGTGAATTAAAAAAAAAACAATCTTAAAATTATCAGATTTTTGAAAAACGAACATGGAAAAAAAATCAAATTTAAAAAAAGTTTTAAATTTTCTTCGAGATCTTCAAAAATTTTTTTCTTCCTCTTCATGTCTTAAAAAATTTTTTAAAAAATGTTTTTTTGTGAAAATTTTAACATTTAACATTCATCAATCCTTTTTACAGTTGTTTAAATTTGTTTATTATTATTTCAAATGATTAAGTAATTATGGAAAAAAAAAAAGTTTTTTTTTTTTTGTTTTTTTTTAAATTTGCAAATTCCTTATTTGATATGTCATAAATGAAAAAAAAATTTTTGATTGAAATTCTGCACGAAAAAGAAAGAAAAATAATTATTGTTTACAGTTTTAAAAAATATAAAAATTTAAAAAATGTTTTGGCGCAATGGTTATCAGAATTATTAACAACATTTAATTTTAAATTAAATCATAGGCAAAATTATTTTGAATCAATGTCTTGTTTAAAAAAATAATCTGTAGATCAATATATGGGGAAAAAATAAATTCTAAGGCCCTAACCAAATTCAGGAACAAAAAAATTATAAATTTTGCAAAATGAAATATATGTATATTCGAATAAAATATTTTATGTATTAAGAGGAGGAAAAATAAGAAATTTACATTATGTCTGACCTAAAATTTGGATCTTCTTAAACAACCATTAGAAACTGTTTCAGAAAACATTGTTCTGGGAGAAAAAGCTATAAATCTTCAAAAAATTTACTCAAAAAAAATTTTAAGTGAATGAAAATGAATCGACCTTGTGCAACTATGTGACAAAGAAAATTCATTTTATGTATTTTATAGACAGAATAATGTGGATGTTATAAAGTTGTCAAGAATAATTTTTTTGAATTTATGAATTTATTGAAACCAGTCGTCCTGAAAAAAACGATGTAAATTTTTATCTATAATGGTTAAGAAAATAATCTACATTCCGACAGCAAGGCATTTGGATCAGGAGGTTTTGAGGATTTTTAAAACACATGATTAATTCAATTTCAAATATTTATCCACCCTTATTTTATATAAAATTTTGATTTTCATTATTTTTTAAAACATTTATGGGCAAATATTTATAAAATAAAAAACCATCAAAAACATTGTTTTATAAAAAATAGATTTTAATACTAGCAATATTTTTGGAAAAAATATTTTTAAGATTTTGTAAATTTTTTAAAAGAAAAAATTAAAAGCAATACAAAAGCAGAAAAAATTTACTAACAGTACATTTTTTTTCATAGAATATTACCAGCATGAAAGTTGTTCAATGGCCACAAATAACCTTTTATTTTTGATATAAATTTTAAACCAAACCAAAAAAAACCAAAGTAATTTCATTTATAATTTATAGATAAACCAAAAATGATGCCAAATTTTTTAACAAGGCACTGTTGTTATTATTTGTTTTCATTTAATGTTTTATATAGATTTTCCTATTTTTTTTAATCATGATTTTTCTAAAACAGTTCACCTTTTTGGGGTGGTAGCATCTTTTTTTCGCAAAACAGGCAAATAGTTAACCCCAAAACTGGGGACAAAATTACATTCACTGAAATTTAATTTTTACCCTAACATTTTCACTATTTTTTATTTTTTATAAAAAGAATTATTAAAGCAATGTGAAATCTTGTGAGCATTTAAATTTTTTTTTCTCATTGATTTAACTTATAAATTTTCAATAAAATAAAAATATGAATAGACCAGTTGAGACAATAACGATCAAAACAGACATTGATTGAGAGTGAACATAAAAATTTTGTCAAAAATAAAAAGATAACAACCCAGTCGTGATATAAATAAATTACTATAACTATTGTTCATCTTATATCCTTTTTATGTTCACAACTATATATATATATACCTTTTTTGGACATTATTATATATATGCATGTGCATTTTATTTTGAACGAGTTTTGACCAACAAAAGTGATTTATTATTTGTTTGGACTGAAGGAAATATTACATGGTCAATTTTCAACAACTTTTGGATAGGAGACCGTCCACAAGAGTTGCAGGAGATTCCGATTTCGTTTATAAATTGTTTTGGTTTTTTTTTCAATGCGATTTTATTTTTAAATTTATTGTTTAGTTTTTTCAAGATATTTTTGCGTAAATTTAGTAAATATATCTATTAAAAAATGAATAATCAGTAATTTTCATAATAATGTTTAGACGACAATTTATCCATTTTTTTGTATATCTGTTAAATGAGATGTCTTGGATTTTATTTTTTAAAAATTAACAAATTTCCTACCATCAAAATTTTGATTATAAATGGTTCAAATAAATAACTTAAATTTTTGAATTTCAATTAAATATACAAATCCCTTTTCGATTCTCAACAAAATTTCTTTGAAAAAAAACAAAATAATCAAAATAACATTTATTATTTTAAAAATTTTTTTATCAATAGAAAAATCTTTCATTTTCAATCAATTTTGATATAATATGATAGATGTTGAACTTGTATTTTTTAAAAAAGCTTAAATGAGTTATCAGAAAAATAAAGAACAAATATACATTTGATTATTTTGAAATTTTGAAAATTTCCTAATTTTATAAGGTCATTTTTTCATTTTTTTTTTTACATAAAAACTTTTTTTAATAATGGACGCGATATTCATGCTCAGAATGTTATCAGAAAGAGCGATAAAAATGCAGAAGAGGACGTGTATTATATGTTTTTTTAGACTACGCAAAGGCCTTTCAAAAAAGTTTGTCAAAAATTAATGATGGAACTGCTCAGCAACCTTGATATATTCAGGAAAGATATTAGAATAATCAAGAACCTATACTGGCATAGCAAACAGCATGCATATATAAAATCCAGTTCAATGTGATGTTTAAAATAGAAAGGGGCTAAGGCAAGGATGTGTCTTCTCACCTGACCTTGTTCAACCTATACAGCGAGGCAATTCTGAGAGAATTGGAAACCCTACCGGGATTTAGCATTGGCAAAACAATCTTAACAACATAAGATACGCAGATGACACAGTACTGATAGCAGACACGGAAAAGAAATTACAAAACCTCCTACAGAAGGTAGCGAAGGGAGAGCGAGAAGAAAGGACTAAGCATAAAACTACAAGAAGACAGAATGCATGGTCATCATCAGTAAAAGGATGAGCCCTTGAAATGCGATTTGCAGGTCGGGAACACTAGAATCAAGCAGACGCGGAAGTTTAAATATCTGGGAAGTGTTTTGACAGAGGACGGTAAGTGCGACACTGAGATCCGTAGACGTATTGGGATGGCCAAGGACACATTCCAAAAAAATTGGGCAGAGTATTGCGAGACAGGAGGATTTCTTTGGTAACAAAGAAAAAAATATACTGAGCTGTTACGTGACATCTGTCCTTCTTTACGGCAGCGAATGTTGGACGATTTCCTCAAAGATGAAGAAGAGACTCGAGGCGACGGAGATGTGGTTCTACAGAAGGATGCTAAGTATATCATGGACCGAGCGTGTGAGTAACGATGAGGTTCTTAGAGAGGGATGCAAACAAGGAGGATGCTTATACTTAATATCAGGAAGAGGCAGCTGAAGTTTCTGGGACACATAATGAGGAAGGAGGGCCTGGAGAATCTGATACTCACAGGTCGAATAGAGGGAAAGAGAGACAAGAGAAAACAACGCATGACATACCTGGTGGACTTAAGCAAGTGGATGACAGAACGTGGTCTGGGGGAGGAAGCAGAGGGAAGGAACTTGTTGAGAGCTGCAAGGGATAGAGGGAGGTGGAGAGCCATGATCGCCTACGTCCTGAAAGGACATGGCGCATATAAAAAAAAAAAAATGCCTTTTTTCCTGATTTGTTGGAAAAAAATAGAAAAAATTATTTTTGAAAGATCAAGTTTTTTGAATTAAAATTCAATTAAAAATTTTAGAATCAACTTAACCAAACAAATTTTAAAATTATTTGTTGACACAGCCTGAAAACTAAAAATTTTAACAATTAACTTTGAAATTGAAATTCTTTTTTTTTTTGCAAAAAATCTAAACATAAGGAAAAAAATTCAAAATAAAAAATATAGAAAATAAAATATTATTTAAAAAATTATTGAATCCCTATAAACCCTTAAAATTCGAAGTTTGAAGGTTTTAAAAAATTTTTGAAAACTTTATGAAAAATGGAATATGTCCTGACATGAAAATTTTCAAAATTTTTATTTCATTTTCGAATTTTATTTTTTTTTAAAAAGGATTTTAGTTAAAAATTTATTTTTTTGAAATGAAAAGAAAAAAAAGAATTATTTTTTTTTACGGCAGGAAAAAATAAAAAAAGTAAAAGAAAAAATGAAAATCAAATAAAAAAAAAAATTAAAAAAAAAAAAAAAAAAAAATATAAAAAAAAATTAGAAATAAATGAAAAAATTAAAAAAGAAAGAAATCAATTTTTTTTGAAAAAAAAAAAGAAAAAAAAAAAAAAAAAAATTAAGAAAAAAAAAAAAAAGAAAAAAAAAGAAAAATTCAAAAAAATGAAGAAAGAAATAAAAAAAGAAAAAGAAAACGAAAAAAAAGATTCTATTTCTTTCTAAAAAAAAAAAAAAGAAAGAAAAATTAAAAGAAATTTTTTTTTGAAAAAAAAAAAAAAGAAATTCAACGAAAAAAGAAAAAAAGAAACAAAAAAAAGAAAAAGAAAAAAAAAAAGAAAAGAAAAAAGAAAAAAACGAAAAAGAAGAAAGAAATTTCTTAATTTTGAAAAGAATAAATCCGTAAAAGAAAAAAAAAAAAAAAAGAAAGAAAATTTAATTTTTAAAGAAAGAAAATAAAACGAAAATATAAATAAAATGAAAAAAAAAAAGAATAAAGAAATAAAATATAAATCTTTTTCAATAAGAAAAAAAAATAAAAAAGAAAAAAAAAAAAAAAAAAAATAGAAAGAAAGAAAAAACTTTTTTTCAAAAAGAAAGAAAAATAAAAAAAAGAAATTTTTTTTTTTGAAAAAGAAGAAAGAAAGAAAAAAAAAAGAAAAAGAAAAAAATTTGTTTCTTGAAAAAAATAAAACTCATTTTAAAAAAAATTAAAATTTAAAAAATAGAAAAAAAAAAAAAAAAAAAAAAAATTAATTTCTGAAAGAAAGAAAATTAAAAAAAAGAAAGTAAAGAAAAAAAAAAAGAATTTAAAATTATTTATTAAACGAAAAATAAATTTAAAGAAATAAAAAAAAAAAAATAGAAAGAAAAAAAAAAAAAATAAAAAAAAAAGAAAAATAAAAAAGAAAAAATAAAGAAAAAAAAAAGAAAAAAGAAAAAATTTTTTTGAAAGAAATCAAAGAAATATTTTTTTTTTTTTAAAAAAAAAAAAAAAAAGTTCTTTTTAAAAAAAACAAGTAAAGAAAAAAGAAAATTTTAAACTGAAAAATAAGAAAAAAAAGAAAACGAAAAAAAAAGAAAAAAAGAAAAAAAAAAAAGAAAGAAAAAAAAATTTGTTAAAGAAAGAAAAAAAAAATTTTTTTTTTTAAAATTTGAATTTTGAGAAAGAAAAAAAAAAAGAAAAAAGAAAAAAATCTAAAAAAAAAAAAAAAAAAAAAAAAAAAAGATTTTTTAAAAAACAAAAAAATTCATTTTTTCTTTGAAAAAAAAAAAGAAAAGAAAAAAACGAAAAAGAATGAAAGAAATCCTTTTCTAAAAAAAGAAAAAAGAAAGAAAATCACTGATATAAAAAAATAAAGAAAAAAAAATAAAAAAATTTTGTAATGTTTTTAGAAGAAAGAAAGAAAAATAAAAAGAAGAAGAAAAAAACGAAAAAAAAAAAAAAAAAAAAAAAAACATAAAAAAAAATCAATCTGAAAAAAGAAAAAAAAAAATAAAAAAATTTTATAGAAAAAAAAATTTTTTATTTTAAATAAGAAAATTATTTAAAACTTTTTTTAAAGAAAGAAATATTTAAAAAAGAAAGAAAGAAAACAAAAATTTTTCAAAGAAAATTTTCATTTTATTTTTTTTTTTAAAAAGAAAGAAATCCAAATCAAAAAAAAAAAAAAATAATAAAGGATAGAAAAATAAAGAAGAAAATTTTAAAAAATTTCAAAAAAAAGAAATTTAAAAAAATTTTTTTTTTTTGAAATAAATGAAAAAACTTTGTAAAGAAAAACAAAAAAGAAGAAAGAAAGAAAACGAAAAAAGAAAGAAAGAAAAATCAAAAAATTCAGAAAGAAAAGAAAAACCTTCCTTTCAAAAAAAAAATTTTTTAAAAAAAAAAAAAAAACGAAAAAAAAGAAAGAAAAAAAATTTGAAAAAAATTTCAAAAAAATAGAAAAAAAAAAAAAATTTTGAAAAAGAAAATGAAAAAAGAAAAAAAAAAAAAAAAAAGAAATTTCTCAAAAAAAAAAAGAAAGATAAGAAAACGAAAAAAAAAAAAAAAAATGAAAAAAAGAAAGAAAAGAAAACGTCCTTGAAAAAAAAAAGAAAAATAAAAAAGAAATTTTTAAAAAATTGAAGAAAAAAAAAAAAAAAAAAAAGAAAAAAAATTTAAAAAAAAAGAAAGAAAGAAAATTAAAAAAAAAAAAAAAAAAAAAAAAAAAAAAGAAAAAAATCGTCTCAGAAAAAAAGAAAAAAAAAAAAAAGAAGAAAGAAAGAAAACGAAAAAGAAGAAAGAAAGAAATTAAAAAAGAAGAAAGAAAGAAAAATAAAAAAAAAAAATGAAAGAAAAAGAAAAAAAAAAAAAAGAAAAAAAAAAGAAGAAAGAAAGAAAATGAAAAAAAAAAAAGAAAGAAAATTTAAAAAGAATTTAAAGAAAAAAAAAAGAAAAAGAAAAAAAACGAAAAAAAAGAAGAAAGAAAAAAAAAAAAAAGAAAAAAAGAAAGAAAAAGAAAAAAAAAAAAGAAAGAAAAAAAAAAAAGAAAAAAAAAAAAAAAAAAAAATTTTTTCCAAAAAAAAAAAAAAAGAAAAAAAAAAAAAAAGAAAGAAAAAAATTTTTCAAAAAAAGAAAAAGAAAGAAAACGAAAAAAGAAGAAAAAAAGAAAAAAAAAAGAAGAAAGAAAGAAAATGAAAAAGAAAAAATTCAGAAAAAAAAAGAAAAAGAAAGAAAAAAAAAAGAAAAAAGAAAATTTTTAAAAAGAAATTAAAGAAAAAAAAAAAAAAAAGAAAGAAAAAAAAAAAATCAAGAAAACGAAAAAAAAAGAAAGAAAAAAAAAAAAGAAAGAAAAAACGAAAAAAAAAATAAAGAAAACGAAAAAAAAAAAAGAAAAAAAAAAAGAAAAAGAAAAAAAAAAAAATGAAAAGAAAGAAAAAAAAAAAAAAATCCTAAAAACGAAAAGAAGAAAGAAATTGAAAAAAGAAAAAAGAAGAAATTGAAAAACGAAAAAAAAAGAAAGAAAAAAAATTTCAAAGAAAAAAGAAAAAAAATATTGAAAAAGAAAGAAAGAAAAATTTCATGTAAAGAAGAAAGAAAGAAAACGAAAAAAAAAAAAAAAAAAAAAAAAAAAAGAAAAAAAAAATTTTTAACGAAAAAGAAAAAAAAAATTAAAAAAAGAATTGAAATTTAAAATAAAAAAGAAGAAAGAAAGAAAACGAAAAAAAAATAAAAAAGAAAAAAAAAAAAAAAGAAAGAAAGAAAAAAAAAGAAGAAAAAAAAAAAAAAGAAAAAAAAAAAAAGAAAAAAAAACGAAAAAGAAGAAAGAAAAAAAACGAAAAAAGAAGAAAAAAATGTCCTCAAAAAAAAAAAGAAAGAAAACGAAAAAGAAAAAAAAAGAAAAAAAAAAAAAAGAAAAAAGAAAAAAAAGAAGAAAGAAAGAAAACGAAAAAAGAAGAAAGAAAGAAAACGAAAAAAGAAGAAAGAAAGAAAACGAAAAAAGAAGAAAGAAAGAAAACGAAAAAAGAAGAAAGAAAGAAAACGAAAAAAGAAGAAAGAAAGAAAACGAAAAAAGAAGAAAGAAAGAAAACGAAAAAAAGAAAGAAAGAAAACGAAAAAAAAAAGAAAAGAAAACGAAAAAAGAAAAAAAAAACGAAAAAAAAAAAGAAAACGAAAAAAAAAGAAAAGAAAAAAACGAAAAAAAAAAAAGAAAGAAAAAGAAAAAAAAAAGAAAGAAAAGAAAAAAAAAAAAAAAAAGAAAACGAAAAAAAAAAAAGAAAGAAAACGAAAAAAAATGAAAGAAAGAAAACGAAAAAAAAAGAAAGAAAGAAAACGAAAAAAAAAGAAAGAAAGAAAACGAAAAAAAAGAAAGAAAGAAAACGCAAAAAAAGAAAGAAAGAAAACGCAAAAAAAGAAAGAAAGAAAACGCAAAAAAGAAAGAAAAATAAAAACGCAAAAAAAAAAAGAAAGAAAACGCAAAAAAAAAAGAAAGAAAAAAAAGAAAAAAACAAAAACCAGAAAAGAAAGAAAATGAGAGTTCCAACAGAAAGGAGAAACAGGAAACAGCTCGAGCGTGATCTTGTCTCAGAATTAATGATTAACTTTTAGTCCTTCCGTAGTTTGTCGTCCTCTTGTCTGGTTTTAATGTAAAGTCGGCTACAGTGGACGAATTAACTCCCTTCTCTTGACCCAAAACGCGAACAAGTAAAAAGATGCCAATATTTTTGACACTTGGAGACAGATAAAAATATCGTCGTATCAGGGCAAGATATTTTAATCCAACGAGGATCCCGCCTTGAATATTTTACGATATAACGAGCACACAAACACATATGAAACACGACATGACATCCAATTATGATTTCAGTAGCTGCGAACTGAGGTCGCTTATGTTAACGAGAATAATCAACATGGAGCCTTTCTTGTCTAGACTTTTGACCACTTTGTCTATATCGCATTGGTAGAGCGTTAATTCAATTAGACTCTTTTTAGCGAGCTTAGAGGCTCTCCATCATGACTACTTGCCCAATTTCATTGTTTATATAACTGGAGTCTTAACGAAATTTATTAGGAGGTGAAAGCTTTTCGCTGTTCTTGCCTGGGCAGATAAAGAATTGGTTTGCTAGGTGAGCAGTCATCCACACACAGCCTGACAATAGCGAGTTCATAGCTTTCCAAAGTGTATTTGTACGAGATTTGCAGATATCGTTTTCAAAACATCCCCTAATCATTTTCAACCTATCTCATAATCGATTCACTAGTCAAATGAGGGTGTGGTCTCTAATCACTAGGGGTTCAACCTTTGGGAATTTGTGCTGCGCCAAAACGAAGGCCGACGACCAAAAACTGGTTATGTTCGTTTGAAAAAGAACAGTTTAAGTCCACCAAAAGTTCCGTTGCTCCTTTTAATATGTCGACCTGGCTGGTTTCTCCACATCGTATTAGAAAGGACAATTTAAGATGGTTATAAAAAACATGACTGAAACAAGTTGCCCGGACGTAAAGAAATCGGCACAGATAAGAATATGGAGAAAGAGTTTGGCTATATCTCTGAGATGAGGTATTAGGATTAATTGCATTATTTGCATCATTCAGGACTGTTATCCTCATCTTCGGAAGTTAAATGAAAACAATTGCCTACAACTGTAACGTTATGTTTATCCGTAAGGGTGAGGGCAACCCTTAAAAAACGTGCCATTTAAACAATAATATCACGCATGAAACACCATACTTAAAAAAAAGAACATTTCGACACACAAATTTATTTTCATTATTTTAAAAATAATTGATATGATGATTTGTATAAAGCTTTTCAATTTTCACTCAGTAAATAGTCTTCACTTAATCACTTAACCTAACTTTGACGATGTTTGCAAAAAAGATTTTTAAACATTTTTGAAACTTTGGAAATTAAAAAGAATGCAGTTTTTATTTTACGATTTGGGGCAGATTTTATTGAAGAGTTTGAAAAAAAATACTGATGATTTACATTTCCCAAAGAGTTCTGTTTTAACTAATAAAAAACATTTCCTTGATGATTTTCTTAATTCTAGAAAATTTCATGAAATTAAGTTGGGGTTAACAGATGTTGAAAAAGACATTTACCAAGATTTTCTAAAAATGATAATTTCAAAAATAGATTCGTTCATTTGTGAATAATTTCTGGAAGTTTCATTAAAATCCGACAATTATTTGATTTTTGCAAGACTTTCCAAATTAATGTGATATTTTACCGGAAAGCAGGCGCGAAAATGTCCATTAAAACCTCTATTAGTACACAGTTGACACACGAAAAAACAGACGTTTAACACAAATTTCGAGCGTGTTAGAAAAGAGTAAAAAATGTTAAAAAAATGATTAAAAAAATACTTTGGTCTTTCCTCTTAATTTTTGACGATAAAACTTAGTTTATATTAAGTTAGGGGCCTTTTTTTCCTTATGCTATGCTGTTCTTTTAGCGAAAAAGTGGAGATTATCTAATTTAGTATTGTTGAAGTTATCGCTAACATTTTTTGCCGAGGTTTGCAAACTCTCAGTTTCGTTCAAATTCGCAAACCAATTGATGAAATATAAAAACTTAATTTATTATTTTAATTATTAAATTGTTTTTAAAATAGAGGGAGTGTTTTGTATGTTAAACAATAATACTTTTAATTTCATAAAATAAAAGAAAATTTATTTTACAGAGTTACGCAGCCTAGTAAAACCAAATGTACTTTGTATCCACTTCTCCCAAAACCCGAGTTTCGATCAGTCAATGTATGGCTATTTCAGAGGGTGTGACAGGCGGACAGACGAACGGAAGTGAAAGAATTTTATATATAGATTTATTATTATGGAGAGTATGTAACAAAGTTCGATGTCTAAAATAACCATAAAAAGGAAAAAAAGAAAAAAAAAAAGAAAAAGGTAAAATCCTGGTCTTTACAAGATTATCAGAATTACTTTCAATTTCATGATAAATTGATGTTCAGATTCGAGCAGGTGAAGATGGATTTATTTGTGAAATTAATTTCAAAATCGTTAAAAAAATCGGATTTTTAAACATTTTCTAACTTGTATTTTAGGCGATTTTAAACATTGGTTTGTATCGAACTTACATGATGCGATAGTCGCCACACATGTCTTGCAACAGAGAGATAGATTAATTAGTAAGGTATGTATCACGAAGTGATTATTATCTTAAAAAATATTTTTACAATCTAAAAATATTTTCTGGCTTTAAAGAACCTGCAAAAGGTTGCTAAACAGTAGAAAATGAATCAATCAATCTTCTTACGCTCATACAACAAACTTATTCAGTAACCCTCTGACTTGAGTGTCTTTCGAGCCTTGAATTAAGTTAACTTTAGTAAAAAAACATTATCTGGTTTAACCCATCATACAATAAAACCGTTTAAACAAGCATAGAAAGGACATCCCTAAACTTAATAGAAAATCACTTTCCTGCAACAAACCGCCTAGCAAAAATACTTTAAAAAATAACGTAACAATTAGTTACAACTGCACTAAAAATATAACGCAAATAATAAAAAGCCACAAAAAACACATCCTGCAATGACACAGTCAAGGACCCTCAATGCAACTGCAGAAATAAAACAACATGTCCACTCCAAGGAAACTGCCAATAAACGAATATAATATAGAAAGCCAAGGTAAGTGCAAACTACAGCACAATGTACTACATCGGTGCCATTGAGGGACCACTCAAGAAAAGAAAATACAACCATGACCTCTCATTCTCCAACAGAAAATACTCAAAACAGCCCTACACTATCCACATACATATGGCAGCAAGACGACAGAAATATTACATCAAGAATAAGCTGGGAAATATTGAAAAACGCACCTGCCTACAACAATATAACAAAGAAATGCATACTTTGCCTACACAAAAGGGTAGCAATAATTTCCCCCAACCAACAAAAGTAATTACTAAACATAATATCAGAAATAATTTCTAAATGCAGACATGAAAACAAATACTTATTATCACAATTTATACCAAACGGATAAAAAAATACCAACCTAAACCGCTACATAAACCATTTCTGACCCTATGAATACGAAAAGAGAAACCACTAACACCATAATACTATCAATTATTTTTAATTCAAACTACCATCATAATAATTATAATTATTGTTATTATCATTCCACTACCATTACTACAATCACGTTTACCATTTTTTAACATAACTGTTTACTGCTACAACTGTTATTATCACCATCCGTTCCTCCATTATTATATCAGTCTTACTAGTAATTATCATATCTTTATTACCATTTATCCCCACTTATCTCAACATTGCCACCAATATTGTTAATATTATTTCAGTCTTACTATTAGTTTTAATTTATCCAATATTGTAATTTTCATCTTTCTTACCATTTATCCCCACTTATCTCAACTTTGCAACCATTATTCCATTCCCACTATTTTCCCACCACAATTACCATTGATGTATTAGTTTACAATTATGCTCCCCCCCAGCAAAATTAATACCAGCGCATGAATACCAATAGGTATTATAAATTACAATTTCTACATTTACATAAGCGCAATCGCCCCAAACAGGCAAATAACTGGCATTAAAATAATAACGAAACAGCATTAAAAAATTAAAAAATAATAACAAATTTACCTACCATAGGCAATACACAGTCCCCATCTTAAGGGAAAAAAACAACAACAAAAAAAAACAACAACAAAAAAAACCAACAAAAAAAAACCAACAAAAAAAAAACAACAAAACCCCCCCCAAAAAACAGAAGGATAGAAGATGTGTGAACGCGTGTGTATACGTATATGTGTGTGCGAAAAAACATTATTCCATGAACAAAATGTTATAGTGGAACACACCTATTCTATTGTTAATAGACCCTCCCACCTATAATAAGTAGGAGTAATAAGAGTCGCTCAGGAGTTAGTCAGTCAGTCGACCGACTGAACTCTCTGCTTTCGGGCGGGGAGGAACCCGAAAGAGGCTACGCCGAAGGGAGGATTCTCTTTCGGGGAGGTAAACCGACCCTGAACCCGTTTATGCGGGTTCAGTGGGCATATTTTTGGCCGAACCCACGGTCTTGGAGATCCCACGTTAAACCGGCCTTGTGCCACATGATGCCATCGTTGGGGGACTAATTATCGTTGGTCAGTCAGTCAGTCGATGTCGGACGACCGTTAGTCAAATATTAAAGTATCAGCCACCACAAGTAGATTACTGCGTCATTACCTATTATATCAAGTTCCTAACGTTTTGTACGTCGAACCTATTTTAGGACCGACTTATTATAAATACAAGCCTACACTGTGAAACCACTCTACAACACTTGGCGACCAGAATTCGAACTCTACAACACTTGACGACGAGGATTCGAACTCATACGGAGAAAAAAAAAATTCGTTCGCCATACAACAATTATTTGGCCTCAAGGTTTCGGATTTATTTGGTGGAAAAAAATAGTTCGTCTACGACACAAAATAGACGAACGATCTATAAGATGACACAGTCACTTGGAAAAAAATTCGCTACACAGTTCCATCATTGAATACAGCAATCAAATGCGTACGTATGCACGCAACGACGCATTGATGCGCATATGCACCCAGTCCCACACTGTTCATATATGTTTATGTGAGCTGTAATGCATGAACTTAAGTGTATGTGTGTCTGCGTATGTATGAGTGGCGTTCCGACGACAATTTTTCCTCCCACTCCCATAAAACACCAATATACACAACCATAAATAAATCCAAAATGTCAAAATTAATCAGTTTGTCTGAAGATCGCTAAGAGCGTGAAACCCAGGGTCACAAACTCACATCAATCCTATATATATATATATATATATATATATATATATATAAAATGAATCCTGAAGAGTCAGGAACAACCTACCTCCGTTTAGGTGAAACCTAGGTAGGTTGTTCCTGGCTCTTTAGGATTTATTGCGTATTGAGCACTCTACATTTTAGCTTTATTACTCGCTTGGTTTTTTTTTCTTTGGACTAAAAACTTAAACCACTGGACGATTTATTTCGGATGTTTCTAGTTCTTTCTTTTCTTTTCCAATTTGTTTTTATAGACTTACAAGTTGTGCTATCCGAGGTTTTTTCCAACCGAGTATCACTAGTAGTTTAATACACACACACACATTTTATATATATATATATATATATAATAATCGACTCTCCCGTCGAGATTCAACGTATGAGGGTCAAGCAGATCAGTTTCCAGGAAACCGACAGCCCGACACCATCTGATTATAGTGATGAAGGCCTCGTGCAGGACCATCCACACTTTTTGAAGGGACGAATACAGAGACCTGGTGCACCGAATGCCACAAGGTTCCCAAACGACCCTCCGCAGGTTTTGAATTCACAGTTGTCCTTCTCCTAGACCAGTTGCCATCCAATGCTATTTTACCCATAGCTGGAGGGAGAGGAAGAGGATTCATACCTTTCCCAAGGGTATTAGCACGACTGGAATGTGTTTTTTATGGCCGGTCACTACTAAAGTTTTCATGTTTGCCGAAACAGACGATCATCAGGTCAACCGCCCCGTGATTTTGTGTTTCGGCCCACATGAAACTGATAGTCGTGGCCAGCCATATGAAACACCTATTTATAAAAAGACATATATGACTCGCTGATGTCTATTTTCGCACCACTTGGTGAATTATGTAGAGTGTATATATCATAGTAAATTTTAAGTATACATATGATGCATTATAAAGTTCCTCCTGTAGTGAGATAATTAGCGAGTTCGTCTTGCATATTTGTTCGTTAAAATTGTAAATTCGGTCGTTAATGAACTTGCGCCAGATTGGCGCTTCACTAATCATAAATTCTCTCGTTAGGTTATAATGATTAAATGAATAAAAAACAACAACAATATATATTTAGCGATATCTAATGTTCCTTTTTCAATTGAACCCTATATTTAAAGTTTTAATAAATACCACGCAGTGAAAAGGCTTAGGAATTGTTATAACAGATGCATATCACAGTAATCAATTCCACATTTACTTACTGGTCTTTCGCTGGCGGCCCAAGTTCGATCCTTACAGGGTAGGAGGCACGGTGGAGTAATGGATAGCGGCTTGGATTGAGGAATCGGAGAGCCGAGTTCGAATTCCATTAAAATCCATTACATTCACTTTACGTGCTAACACCCTTGGAAAAAATTGAATCCTCTTTCTTCTCCCTCCAGCTATGGGTAAATAACAGGACAGACTGGGTTCTATAGCCTTTTATGGTAACTGGTTTAGAGAAGGAAAACTTTTTTTCTTTAAACCTGCTTTTAGAGGAGGGGTGAATGGAGTCTTGTCTGAGCCTTGGTTGGCAATCCATGTAGTGATGGTGTCACGATAAAAGAAAGCACCCTTGATAGCCCTAACGAAGCATCAAGAATTCAGCTATTTGACAAGATTATGCACTACACCAATCAAAGTATTAGTGAGTTCAATCTCGGCTGAGGCCGCAAGATGGTGGACAGGGTTACCCACACTTGCATCCTTTTACCAGACTAAGTTCAACTTGGTAACTACGTATCTATTGGTTTACGTGAGAATACCCCAGTAAATTGTTTTATGTCTTCCGTGAAAGGTTTTCCTTTGAAACTAAATAATCTTTGAGATGCAGTTTGGCGAAGTTAACGTGTCACATTATTCTCTTGTTTCCTCACCCTGGCTAATTATTCCTTCGGGTAATTATTTCCACTTTAAGCGTCATTAAATCCTCATCAGAGGATTTTTGTAACCGTCATCATCCAATAGTCAAGAATCTGTAAGCGACAATGAAAATCGTTTTTTAAGAACCAGAGGCAACGTCTTCTGTTTTTCACGGTATCAGAGGGAGTAGGTCATTGCCTGAAATATTATGTTTTGTGTTTTCATTGGACAGAAAGTAGATCGTTTTTTTTTGTTTTTTTTTAAATCTTTGAACGGATTATTTTCTTGGAAGGAAGCAAAGAAAAAAAAATACCTAAAAGATTTAACGGAAAATTACTGCCATGCCGGATATGGAACTTCTCAATCCTCATCTTCCAGCCTTGATAGAATTTAGTATCGCGTTTACGCGGCCATATATTTCCATCTTTGCCGCCCCTCCACCCCTTCAGATGTCACGTTGCAATCACGTTGCTGCTATGTCACCAGATTCACTCACAAAGGCTTGGGTTAACCACATAATTTTTTTTAATCCTTTTTCCAAAATGGCCGCACGGTTGGACCACCTCAAGAGAGCATCATGAAGGCTCCTTTCGTCTATTTCAGAGATACTCAACGTGGGGCGCATATCCCACCGGTGGGTATGGTAATATTTTGGTGGTGCATGAATAAGATGTGCACACTTCGGTTTGCTACACCAAAAGAATAAGGGGGCAATTCAAGAATATTTCATTTTGCATTATTATTTCATGATTAAAATGATCAAAGTATATTACAGAATAAACTTTCATTCAAATATTTTATACTTCTGCCTTTCAGTTCCCTATTATATATTTTGAAACTATATATATTTAACTGTCTTTTTTTTTTAATTTTTCTCTTTCATGGATACCATGGTCTTTGGAGGCTTGTTTAGAGGCCAAGTTAATGGCCTTTTAAGCTTCCTTCACGCGAATCGTAGTAAAATTTTGAATATGTTACAATTAAATATTACAGGGGGAACCAGCATTTTAGAAATACGAAAGTGGGGAATGGCCCAAAATTGGTTAGAAACCACTGGTCTATGGTGAAAAGTTCAGATCTTTACATATTACTTACACCACACACTTCCACGGAGTTGCATCATATTTCTTTCTTACGTATTCCCAATATAAAGAGCAAGTCCCAATCGAACAAATTTTTCTCCCAAAGAAAATTACCAATTAAAAACTCAAGCGTGGATTCTTCAAAAGCAAATGGCTATCTATCCTACTTATTCTCATAATCTTAACTCACTACCACCTCCTGATACATTCCTTTTTCACGCTTTCATCATCATAACCGTCTTAAAACTATGGCGATTTACATTGAGTGGATCTCGAAATTTATACCGCGTGAACATTAGTATAAAAATATAAGATCACTCCCTTTACACATATTGCAACATAGCAAATGATCGATTCGTTTTTAGCGGCTTGTCATTTTTTTTTTATTTAAAGCCAGAAAATATTTTTAGGCTGTAAAAATTACTTTTAAAATAATAATGATTTACTGATACAAATCATACTAATTAACCCATAGCTGAGGGAAAAGAGGTGGATTCATATCTTTCCGAAAAGTATCTGCGCATAATATAACTAACCCAACGGGAAATTGGAACTCGGCTCCGATTAACAATTCCGAGCCATTATCCACGACACCCTCCGCACATCCAAGCTTTCGCGACATGGTATTGCCAAACCGTGATCCATCTAGGTACTGACCGGGCTCAAAGTTGCTCAACTTCGATGATCGTACGGGAACTGTTTTGTTTTTTTTTAAAATTAGCAACATGGCATAGTACAAGGTACACACAGACACACACGCGTGTGTGTGTGTGTGTGTGTGTGTGTGTGTGTGTGTATCTACAGGGACTTTATTTCGAACACATTTCCAGACGTGCAAGAGGATGTACCACTGCCAATACGGAGACGTATGTGATTCATGCATGATGGGGATATATATATATATATATATATATATATATATATTAGCTAACGAAATAAAGCAGCTTATATGTTAGACAACGACAAGGCAAATAATATATGAGGTTTTAAAATTTGATTTTCAGAATGGTTACTGTGTGTCGCTGTTGTAAGAAGTCAGACTAAGATTTATACCAGACAAACGTCAAGACCAGATAACTCCTTCATTGCCGATCAGTAGAGAATGTTATATGTGTTGATATCGGCGAAAAATAAGTGAAATGGAGCTGGAATACAAGATTAACACAGGTTTTGTTTGAGGATTAATAAAAGTGGCAGTAACCCTATTAAAAGGGTTTATCGTAAAAGGCTATGAAAAAAAATAGAGTATTTTGTGTGACAGTGCGGTTCAAGGTAGAGCGAGATGTGGACAGTCAAAATTTGTGAAACTTGGTGCGCCCAGGTCGAAGATTAAGTGTGAGACTGACAGCGGAAGGAGTGAAGATGAATAGAGAAACACTGTGACAGGATTTAACAATCAAAAAATTATGTTATCAGTTCGTGAATTCCCCGAAGAAGACATTCTTTACAAAACTGAGTCATCCAACTTATTCAGTAGTGGCGCTAGGTGAATTTTGACATTTACAAAACTGGCAAATATCTTTAAAGAACAAAGATTTGCTGATATCTGATATCCAGTAACATGCAAATTGATTAATGGAAAAATATTTCCCGTAATAGCATCGTCATATCCAAAAAATGTATATATAGCTTCACATGGGAAAAAAAAAACAGTATCCAATAATAACCAAATAAACAAACCTTGCTTTCATAGGGCCATTCCAGGAATTAAATTCTCCCCATATATATATATATATATATATATATATATATATATATATATATATTACATGAATCATTCATACAAAAACAGATATAGAAGTTAATGATATAAATGGCGGAATACATCTTCTAAACAAATTTAATAAAGTACATTAACTCCGAACCTGTAGATGAATGTTATGATCCCTGTTTATAAATTCAAGTTGCATAAGGTCTTTTTTTAGTTTTTTTTTTTTTAATAAGCTTTCATATCTTTTCATTTCATTTCTCGCCATTTATATCATTAACTTCTATATTTTTTTTTGTATGAATGATTCATGCAATGTAAATTGAACTGCACCACATACTTTATATATATATATATATATATATATATATATATGGTGTATCAAAAATACTTTTGCAAACTTTGAGGTCCGGTTAATCAAGACAAAACACCAGAAGTCCAGAAAAACGTATGTCCGCAAATCCTTCGCTTTTGAGTTAAGTTTAAAGAAAGTTTACGATAGATGACGCTATGTTGCCATATAGAGTAGGTTATATTTGTCATTCGTGTTCATTTGTGGCTAGTCTGTCTTTAACGTGTGTAGTAGTGAGTTAACTGAGACGTGTTCCGTGTAACAATGACAGGATATTCATATCGTGAGCAGGCAGATATGAATTTTATATACGGCCGCGAGAATGGTGACTATGCATGTCTGCATCATATTACGATCCAAAACGAAAGCAGCCGAATCATCCAACCTTTGCTGTTGTTTATCGTCGTGTTTCAGAGACAGGGTATGTGGCACCACAAGCTATGGATTGAGGAAGATGAGATCTGCTCGTACACTTGAACACATTCTACAGGCTGTCGGACACGATCCAGGTATCAGCACACAAAGTGGCCTTAGCATGTCGTACGTCTGATAGTATCGCGTGGAAGGTACTTCAAGAGCAGTTCCCGTATCATTTGCAACGTGTACAGAGTCTGATCATCACCGTCTGATCATCACCACGAACTTTTGCCGATGGTTTATTGCACAAACTGCCAATCTGTTGTTTGTCTTTTTCAGTCTTGGTTTTTGAAAGAGATCGTAACTTGTTTCGGAATCCTCATGAGGCAACATTAATGTTGGTCTGGAATTGATGTTTGGTAGGTCCATATGTTCTCCAA